CTTGTTTGTTAGGTTAACATACATGCATTTCAAATTTGAAAGCTAGTTCTCACTGCATTCGTTAAATTTTAAATCGCCTTTATTTCCTATACCTAATGTTGCCAACTTGGCACAAAATAGTGGATTTTAGTGCCAATTTGACCACTACTGTGTGCGCTTCTAGCTTAGATGGAGATTAAATCTGACCAGTCTCTTGACTAACTCAATAACCACAACCTGACAAGATCGCCTGTCTGTGTAGAGTAGCAAAATGATTTTTAGGAAGTTTCTTAAGCACGTTGGATGCGAAATTTGGCATTAAAACGTTAAGAGTAATCAAAATGAACATTGGTAGTTTCAGAATTTTGTTTGTTCTAGTTAAAACGATGCGTGAAGAGACCAAATCGATCTAATTATTTCACTAAATTTCCATTTCAATACTGCAAGGTATGGTATTGGAAAACTTATCTACGTTTGGATAGCGTTCCGGGAAACGAGGCAGTTTGTCGCGGAGGATATCGTCCATTTTTTACTTCATGTGGATAGTAGAACAAGACAACTAATCAAGAATGTGACAGAAAAGCTATGAAAAATCGCTACTACCTTCGGCTACGTGAGGATTTGAGAGATTTAGGCATCGGGTGAATATGAGAATCACGTCGCAGTTTTAGCTGAAAACGTCGACGTAAACGATCGGTGACGCATCGGTTGCTACGTTTATTCAGGTGGTTGCAAAATATTGATGCAGACGACGGCAATGACGTTGACCTAAGAATTAAATGTACGCCCTGACGCAATGTCATTGCTGTATGATATACTCGTAAAAATTCATGACAAAAAGAACAAATTCATGTACAATTCCTCTGGAAATATACTCTGTTAGTAGTTTCACTTGTGCGTTTTCTGAAAGAAAATTGAAAGTAATCGGAATTTTCTGGTTTTTTATTTAAAGCATGATAATAACTGTTTTATTGCGCAACTTTTCCCTAATTTGACCATCGTCGTATCTTCTATGGTTTCGAAGATCACCATGACAGACATCCTTATCTTGGACACAGTGTATATAAAACAAAGTCGTGTATGTTACTTCATCCACTTATAACTCAACAACGGCTGGACCGAGTTTCATAATATTTGATTTGTTGGATTCATCTCCAACCCGAATAGCAGAATAACTATTAATAGTCCAAGCAACGAAGCCCAAAAAAGGCTGAATAGAAGAAAAAAATCGTGTAGAAGCCAATTTTGGCACAGATGTAGGGGAAGGTATCCTGAACAACATACTAAAAGTACTGAGGGGTGGGGTGTGAGCTAAGGGAGGGGGGGAGGTTAAAGGTCCCTTTTTTTAGTTTGTCGTAAATAATTTGAAAACGGTTGCTCCTAGTTAAAAATTTTGCTCTAGAGAATTAAACAGCATAAAATTATCTACAAAACGATATAGCACAATATATAATAATAATAATAATACTTAATGAAATCCAGAGAAAAGAAAAATCAAATTTTTTTTAATTTTAACCGGTACGCACACGGGGTGTCCGAATGCGATTATGATACGTAGGCGGGAGGGTGGAGGTCCACGGGGAGTGCATGCTGGAGGACAGCAAGGACGTCATTAGTTCACTCTAATCACGCTATGAGGCTCCTATTGTTCAATTGTTTCATCCATTCAAATGCAACATATTGTCCCATGACAACGACGTGAACGAACTCATTCAGTTCCATTGTCTTTAGTGGGTCTTTACGATAAGTTGCGCATCTTAAAGCTAGTGTGTTTAATTGACTTGTGTTTTACTTTACTTGATGCCACATGATTAACTATGGCTGATAAGTGTTTAATTTGCGAGGATGATGTTGACAGTAATTTATGTTATGTATAAGTGGGGAAAAATGGAATAACTGGATTAGTAAGACTAAGATCTAGTATTCTAAGAAAAGATGGACAAGTAGCCAGTTTTAGGAGCAAAGAAAGCGGCCTGTGTTTTTTTACAGATACAACAGTGGCTCAATAACCCCTTACCCAATGGGGTTGGGCCAGACGGGGTACTATTCTCAGTAACCACAAATGATCCAATGGCACTCGAGGCGATAGTTAACACAACATTTTGCCGATGTACAACTGGGTGCAGAGGGAGGTGTGGCTGCCGCAAAGCAGGAATTGCTTGCTCCGTCGCTTGCGGCAGTTGCCTTGGCATGTGCACGGATGGAGCCCCGAACGATGCCATCGATGACGACGACGATGACGATTTTGACTCCTGCCCACAGAATCTCGCCTACGTAACATAATCGGAATCAGACTTGCCGTGTATTACGACTATTTTAAAATTTTTGATTTTTCTTCCCTCTGTATTTCATTAAGGATCATCATGACTTATATACTGTGCTATATCATTTTGTAGGTAATTTTATGGTGTTTAATTCTCTAGAGCAAAATTTTTAATTAGGAGCAACCGTTTTCAAATTATTCACGAAAAACTAAAAAAAGGGACCTTTAACCCCTCCCCCCACCCTTAGCTCATACCCCACCCCCCAGTACTTTTAGTATGTTGTTCAAGATACCTTCCCCTACATCTGTGCCAAAATTCGCTTCTACACGATTTTTTCCGCTATTTTTCCTTCGTTGCCTGGACTATAAAATATAGAAAAAAACACGAAAAAAATATAAAGAAAATTATTAAAAAAGTAATTAACTAATGACACCATCCGATGAAATGTTGTGAGTCTTGCCAGCCGTCAAATTAAACACTACCAAATTAAGTAAAAAGTGATAGCCATACTTCCAAATATTTCAAGTGTGCACAGTGTGCCGCTTAAAAATACGCAGTAACTACTCCAAAATAAAGTCTAGGTACACATTCTAATTTTGCAGCAAATCGTCAACATATTCTGAATCGACATCTCTTAAGACACAAGTCTTCAAAAGTTTCTGAGTAAGTAAACACCTCCCGAAATTCCCACAAACGGGAAAAAAACAGGATTTTAAGTTTTTCAATCGAAAGGCCTTATGGTGTACTCCCAATGAACTTGGAATTTGGATTTCTTCTTTAATTTTTTTCTCAGCAACCATAAGAGTTACAAAGATGGTCTTTGAATAGGTTTTTGGGTATGCCCTATTCAATTTTGAAAATTTTTTTTCAAAATTCCTACCACGAAAGGGTACACCCCTAGTGGGGGGTGCGAAAAAAATCTGATTTCGACGAAATTTGGTATCTGGGGGTTTTTGAACATGAAAATGACGAATTTGGAATAAGTTTTTGAAAATTCGAAAAAAAAGTTCCACTGCAATTCTTGGCCGGACAACGAAAATGGCGAGAATTTCACGAAATTTGTTGTGTTGCAAATAACAAAAAAATAAGGATTTAAGTCGATATTATCATAACATGATCACAAAAAATTCGATATGTCGATCATGCTATTCAAGTCTGCAAATTCGATTCCAAAAAGAGCCCTAAGGAGTTTCTAAACAAATCAGAACATTTATTTCTTATTGTAGAATCTACCAGCGGACACCGAAAAAAAGTTCAAGGGTTCAAAATGGAATATGACCCCTGAAAAAAACTCAGACATCACCATTCTCACTTCCATTGACTGACCAATGATGTAAGCCCTCGCTGTAACCGAGGCTGTAACTTATATTCCATATGCAAGTTAAATGTCTCAAACACTGCAGGATATAAAAAAAACTGTGTAGATCGGTAATGAAGCGCATACAAACCTATGCGAGGACCTATGCTTATATCGAGGCTTTATAAACATCAAGTCTTAAGATAAGCCAAAGAATTAGTCCATTACGTATGTACCTACATCGTATTTAGGAATACCATGTATATCTTAACCTATAATGGTCAATATTGGAAATTTTTATTTCAGAACATTTGACGAGGTCTTTTGCATTGTATTGATTTTCGAGAAACTATTTTAATGATTTTTTATAACTTAAGCAATCCTACCGTTTTCTAAGATTTATCAAGTAGGGAGCCTCTAATATTTTATAAATGTGGGACCAACGCCACATGTGCATCTTAAAGCTAGGTATAATTTTTCATGAAAAAATAAGTGAAAATAGTGTACCTACCTACTGGAATTTTGATTAAGTAATTGCTTTAAAACCTTAGCAAACACTAAATCTTCCCATCAGTGTATCATAGATTCACTCACTGGTGACTTTCTTAATGGTTATAAAATGGAAATCTAATACCTACAGCACAGATTAAGTATGGAAAATTATAATTACGGCAATTGAATATATACGAGTTTGGCAATGAAAACTAGTCCCTTATGGACAACATCCACAGATTCAGAATGCGCAGCAAAATTTTGAATAATTCAATACTTCGTCTAGATATACCTAAATTGGTATTGAATTGATGAATAATTGAACGGACGATAACAGTAAAATATTTCGTAAATATTTCTATGAACATGAACGCATCCAAAACATAACACGATCTTTATAAACAAAAGAATTGATTCATTAAAGTATGCAAGAAACATTGCGAATATGAGGAGGGGAAATTAAACGTATTGTTTATTTATACGAATTTAGAAAGGACAGCATGTATTTAACAATAACAAATACCTAAAGTCGCAATATTAAAAACAATCACAAAGTATTTCCTAATAAAAGGAAGCGAATCGTAAATGAAATAAAATTAGAAAAACGTAGATTTCTAATTTTAAATTAGCTAATTAAAATGTAAGGCTCCATAATATATAAATAAAAAAAATGCGCAATGCACCAATTAATAGAGGGATTGCATTAACACTGAGGGTGCAATGAGTGCGGGATAGTCGATTGTGGTTGCTATATCCACATACACACACAATGTCATAATCAGCTGATTTTCTTTGTTTGCAATTCAGTTTGCTAGAATCTTCCAGGGTCGATGACATGCATTTTAAATGTAAACGCACGATACGCAAAAAAGCTACAACGCAGTATTCGGTTAAAGATAGCCAGAATACAAAAATTCCTTGCATGACGACCTATTTATTTCTTAACCCAAACCTTGAACGATTCCTACCTTTGTAATGTACACGCAAATTATTCTGGGATAACCCGATGTAGTTATATTTTTCTTTCGCACTCCACGCACGTGGCAGGGGACTCTTCTCTTCGTTCACTGCCGGATACAGTTTTTTTAAACGATCCACCGCACCATTTTGAGTCTCAAACGAAGGATCCATCGCACTCCAACTACTACCACCGGCGGCCATTACTAAACTCGCTTGCCCTTCGAAGCCTATGCGCAGGCTTCGGAGTTAACAGGTTTGGTAATCAGCTGGCAGATGTCACAACACTACCTACTATCACATGTTTGCGTCGTCATAGTAACTGCGTCGTACACGTGCATCTAACTCGTATACTACACAGCCTGTTCTTTAATTTAATAGTAAAATAAACGAACTCTTTTTCCCGTTATTCTTGACCACGTTACGAATTATTCATTGTTACGAATAAACGTTTTGACACTACAAAATCACACTGTATCAACTTCGCAGTAGGTAGGTACAATTATTTTGCCACAACCGAGCAATAATCGGTTGCGATTCTCAAGTGTTTTGATAAATAATCAAAATTGCAAAACACATCCATTTATATATACAAGGTGGTGAATTGCGTAACGCACCATAGGGATTTCAATGTAAAATTCATAACATGCGATTATTGGCCCCCCAAATTATTTTAGAGCAAAAATGTATTAAGGTTTTTTGTAGAAAAAATCTTTTTACGCCAATCAACCGTATTAGTTTTCAATTTTTTGCATAATAAAGACGGAAAATTGGAAAAATAAAACCCGCATCTTTTTCAATAATCTGCAATGCCATGCAATTTTCTAAAACATAAAGAGATATCCAGTTATCAATTAGCAGCAGTTCGAAATTGATTTTATGATCCACTTGGTTACTGTCTTGCAGTTAATGGTAACTTATTCGAACATTTATTGTAAATTGTTATATTAGCAAACCGTTTTTAGTAATTTGGTCTTTCTTTATGTTGAATTCGCTGTTCTAAATATCATACTTTTTGATAGAATTTGATTTGTTTTACAGCAGACATTCCATGGCAAGACGGATATTGGCGTAGTTTTTGTATTATAAATTGTCGTTTTAAACAATCCTGCCATCTTTTGTTCGCCATGGAAACCTAGATGTCTGCAATAAAAACATTTTAATGCATCAAAACTAAGAACTTTACGCTCTTTGCAAAAACTTCAAAATATATAGGATGGTCCGTCTCAAAAAATACAGTTTAGAGTCATATAAGAAAACACCCTGATGCATAAAAACTGTGTATCGCGATGAATTCTACATAAAAAAGTACTCTAAGAAAATCAATTATCTTTAATAATAAGAAAGTTATGGAGCATAAAGGAAATCGACTACATTCGAGAAACGCTCCCTGGCGGCCAAACGATTAGAGCTCGGATTAGAGATAGCGCAATTCTATTTGGCCCAGTCATTGTTTCTTTAAAATTGATCTCCAGACACCTAGGCCTATTTTTCTCTATCTCTTAAAATAAAGGGCGCTTCCATAAGAAAGTGTCCAATTTGGAACAACCTGTGCATATCTTTCGACACTTAACTTCTCAGGATATTCGCAGTGTGAAGCTTATCGATTTTACCGGCAGATACCCTCGCAGATACCTCAAGTTTCTACCCTCCGCTTTCCCTTTGCTAGTAGCCTTTTTTGACATTTTGTTCTCTCATTTTACTTTTTGATCCCAATGGCCGATATCAAAAGCAGACGCTATATATTTAACTTTTGGTATTTCTTCATGATAGAGGTGTTCAGTATTTATAAATAGGTATGTCTGACTTTTACTTTTTAGTACCTACTTATCTAAATAGTTTTCAGATGTGCTTGTACAGTTCTGCTTTACCACACAATTAAACACAAATATCTGTGCACTGTGGTCTTCGTATTAGCATTGTTTAAATACTTTAAACAATGGTGTTAGGTACTAAGAATCATTCTCTTTTGGTAAATTTACTCAATAGCAAACGTTATCAGTGCCGGTTTACCGGTTAGGCACGCCTAGGGGCGCCTGCCATTTAGGGGCGCCAGCCGCCAGTGTACCACCAAGTATCGTACGCCATGAGCAGTACGCACACTAAATGGAAATTCCCATAAAGATGTGCTTACTACTTTTTAAATTCAATTCCTTAGTGTTGTATCATTTTTTACGACAAAGATTAACAGTAATTACACATTCATTTTGAAATATGTACATTTACCTACTATATAACAGGATATGAAAACTGAGAAGCTGCAATTTTTGTATCAAATTGATATACGTAATCGCAGTGCTACTATGAACTTTTTAAGAAATTCTCTCGGCAGAATGAGACTTGAATTGGCACTTCTACACATGAATAGTGATATATTAGACCGCATAAATGTTGAGGAAATTTTGGATAAATTTGCTTCACAAAAGGCTAGAAAAAAAATGTTTTAGAGAACTATGACCTTTTTATTATTTAAAAATACCTTTTTCGATTCAGTTTTAGAAAATTATTATTTTTTGTTATCTTAAAACGCAAATAATACTATTCCATTGTCAAGACTAATTTTTTAATAAAGGATTTTTTTAAGGGTCGGGTGGGCGCTTAAAGGGCTGTGCCTAGGGGAGAAAATGTTCCTAAACCGGCACTGAACGTTATGCCTCTACTGTAAGCATATCATACCTTATGATAGCAAATAGGAGGCCCATTTGCGTAAAAAAACCAAACCAGTTTATTTTCTCAAGGAGAAGCAAAAGAAACAATCGTCTTATACCAAGGTCCCTTGCTACTGGTATTGTTACTCCATATACGCAATTACAAAATGGTGGAAACAAACATATTGCAAAACCATAAATACATGTGGATACCAGAAGAAACAACATTTCACGGATAATTTAAAATTCCAATAAAAAAATCTGTATTGGTTTTTAAAAACAGTTGCCCGACTCTTATAGCAATCTGTTGCAGCAATTCAGCTTTCAGGGTACAAATTTTCAAAAGCCTGCACATAAAACTTTCACAAAAACATCTTACTAGAGCTCCCAAAAAAATAATATAAACAAAATTACTAATCACAAATTTATAATAATAGGTACTAACCTTAAATACTAATCACATGTAATGTAATGTAATCACATTCGTATAGTTTTTTCACAATAAATCTACAAATGTCCGCAGCGTCATAAACTATAACACTTCATGATCTCCCTTCCTAACTCATTATGGTCTCGGTTTCTTAGGTAGTGATCCAAATGCAGATATCACTGTGCCTTTCGTGCCGGTAGCGCTACTTGTAAGAGAGGGCTGCACCAACCCGGCCGGTTTAATTGTTTGCGAAGATGTACTGTTACCCCCTGGTTGGTCCCATTTACTTTTTCTTTTTTTGGGATCTTCGTCGTGTTTTTTGGTACCCGACATTACTTCCACTTTCGACTTCCTATCCTTTTCACGTTTCTCCATCTCGATCTTCTGCACCTTGGCCAGTTCTTCGTAGAACGATTCCTTTCCCCATCTAAGAGGATCGTATATCTCTGGTGGATAATTTGTACCTGCAAACAACAAGAGTTAACCGCAAGTGCGCGACTACGATTGAAGTACCTAATTCGTTAATTCCACAAAACTGGATTAATTTCTCGTATATGCTGGGATTACGAAAATCTTTACGTTGTTGAATTAATGCGTTCATATCTAATGCATTGTTTTGCATTTTTTCATGTAATTTCAATATTTTATCTTGCAGATCGGCAGAACAATGACCTGGTGGTTCAGGGGGTAGCTGAATGCCGTCATCTTCAACTTCGTCGACTTCCGCAACAAGAGTGCTTTCTTTATCAATGATATTTACAATTGTTTTACTCCCGTGTAAATCATCAGCTTCTGCATCATCGTCGGATACATAAGTATCATCATGGTAAGAGACCAATTTGGCAACTTTTGTAGTAATTTTTGAGGGTATTGGTGTAGATGGTCGAGATGTTGGCGTTGACTTGTTTTCTGGTGAAACACTTGGAGTTGTTAACGTAACAGACCCTTGATTCTCGTGTGCATGCTCTGTACCATCTTCTTCGCCCTCTGAATCGGTATAAGATGCAGTAAGAGATGCCAAAGCCATACTTTGATTCATTTTGGGAGTATTACAAATTACGCTTATTACAAGTTTGCGCACTTTCGTGTGGCGACAATTACACAGTACTGTTTAATTACTTGGCATTTATACATTACTTATACCAAAACAACATTTAAAAACACTGAAAATGAAATTTAGTTTTGTTGAGTTAAAAAACATCAATTTTAGGTTAGTACAGAAAAAATTCTGTGATAAACTGTGTCTACGCTGCCCTGGCAAACTGAACCATCTTCTGTTTTACGTTAAGGCTTGTTTACACGAGAACAGACTTATTCAATCATGTTGGCGCCCTCGGACATGCCCTTTCAGGGACTTTCTGAGCGTGGTGCCACTGCAAATGTGATTACTAGGCGGTCACCTTTCGCAAGTATGCCCCAAGGTTAGCGCTTAATTTCTGCAACTATAGCTGAAAACAACTTACCCCCTACTTTCTACTTTTCAAATATTAGGCAAGCCATTTCCATATGAGAAATGTGTTTCGATTATCTCCACTTAAAAAAAATACTTTTACAAAATTATGTAAAAATTGGGACAAGTGTTAGTGTTTGTTTACAATGAACGTATACGTAAGAAATACATAAAACTTAAAAATTTCGCAAAGTTGAACTGATAGAAACATACGAAGGTGTTTACAATGAACGTAATTTTTACGTACGTATACGTAAGCGATATGGAAGTCTTGCGCATAGTCGCAAAAGTTGAAAATGTTTCAAAGTTACGTACTGTTAAAGATCATACTACTATTTATTATGGTCTTTGGTTTATTGTAAACAGCGAAGTAAATTTACGGAAACGATACGAATATGTACGAGTTACAGTTTATGAAATATTTATGTATACGTTCATTGTAAACAAACACTTAGTCTGCTGAACAGTAGGTATATGAGACACTGACAAACCTATCGTCCCCTCCAACATGTATCACAAATCACATGTATAATTTTTATAATTATTAATTATAACCTCACTTTTCTAATTTTCATTTGTATGGCTGGGTACTGCTAGTGTTGCATTTATAAATAATGGACCATAAAAATTCCTCGGAACTAAACTTGGAGGACTATGACAGTGACTCAAATGAAGATGAAGCGGTCAGTTCTATAAATGCCTGCCCCTTAGTCACGGAGAAGGAAATTAACCGAAAAGATGATTCTTACATTCTACATTTATCAGCGACATCGTATGCACCTCATGCACGTGTAGAGTGGACTCATTTTTAATAAACACAGCGTTCTAGTGATGCCAGCTGCAATATCCTTATCGGCACATCGAATAATTCTTGCGAGATTTTTCGTTTAGGCGAAAACCGGCTCGCCAAATTGGAGACTTTAGAAAATTTTGAGCATCCGATCA